GCCCGGGCCGGGCCCGGGCCGGGCCCCAGTGTGGGGAAAGACAGGAAAGTGGAAAAGTTTTGCTTCCGAGGACATGAGGGCTTTTACTGGGACAGAGTTCAACGATTGTGCGTGGCCCTCCAACCCCCATCCCGTTCCACTGTCCCTCATCCGCTCCTTTCTTAATTTTTTTCTGTTATATGTTCCTACCACCGCGCCTCAAACCTGGCTCATGTTTTAACCTCCACCCAGACCTCCTGCCTTCCTGCTGCCCTCTCACCTCTTCACGCTTTCTCCCTTTGGTATATCAGCCCAGTGCATGCAGTGCAGGAAGGCAGAGGCCTGCAGAAATCCAGAGCCACAGTCAGTGATCTGCGCCTTCTTCGTATCTTTCTCGGGGCCTCTTTGAGCTCTGGGACTCAAGTTAGAGTCCTTCTGGGAGAACGTGACTCTCTCTTATATCTAAGGCAGGAGAGTGGCTACCCGGAGTGCCTCGGGGTCCTGGCAGGCCTTGGTGAGGTAGCTAGGAGAAAACAGGAGGGAAGGAAGTTGGTGTCAGTTGGGGTAAGCCCAGGAGCTGGGGGCTGGGGGGGCCGGCTGGAGCTCCGGATGCTTGGGTTTCATCCCTGGTCTGGGTGTGGCAGCACTTAGAGCAGCTGATCTCCAAGTGAGTTCGGTCAGGGCCAGAGCCAAGGGTGCCCAGGCTCACTCTTACCTTGGCGTCTCTGCAGTCCCAGGAACAGCAGTGACAGGAGGAAGAGGCTGCTGGCAAAAAGGACTCCAAAGGCTGTCCTCTGCTCTGTAGGTGACAGAGGTGTGGACGGGGATCAGTGGCGGGACCCATACTGAGCCCTCACGTGCAGCGTCTGCCCCAGCAGGAAGGACAGGGCGCGCGCGTGCCTGCGTTCAAGCGTCCCTGGTCGAGGAGCTCCTATCAGGTGTTTTCCTGCTCTCACCCAGGGACCAGCACACGGTGGCGCTGGGACCTGCTAGGTGGACGTCCGTGTGTCACTCCACACAGAACCCTCTACCTCTTCCCACCTCAGGACAACCTTTTTTCAAACAGCTTTACACGGGAGATTTAGTTTAGATTAGCTGGTGACAGTTAAACTGGAATTGTGTAAACAACTGGGAATGATGTAAGCTGAGGCAAAACCCCAGTTTCGGGGAAGCTTACAGTCTCATGAGCCACCAAGTAAGGCATTTCTTTATGGTATAGGACCTTTCGAAGACATTCTGTGGCCTTGGGATGAAGCTCCAGCTTGAAGGCCTGTTGTTATCTGCCCATCAGTAGCAGGAGGGGGGTTGAGGCTGTAGGAGAATCAGCCTGCCTATTTTCCACACTTTCTATTTTACCATTTCCTGGGCAGGTGACCTTGGGCAAATTACTGAACATCTGCAAGTATCAGTTACTCATCTCTAAGATGGGAGGAGTGAGGACCTGTGGAGGCCCACATCTGAGGGCTCAGTGCCCTGCTGGCTTGATGCAGATGCTCAGTGAACACCATCACCTCTCAAGCTTCACGGCCACAGCCCCCTTTCCCCACGCACCCTTGCCTCTAGCCGTGCAGGCCCCCCAGTTCTTTCTAGCCTGTTTTATAATGAGGCCTTCACACATGACGTCCCTTTGGTCCTGGTGTTCCCTGCCCCTGACCCAGCTCAGCCGGCTTGCAGGCCTCCCCGTCCCTCCCACTGGGCTAAGCTCCTCGAGGGCAGGATGAGGAATTGTTCAGCCTTGGTCTCCAGCTCTCAGCAGTGCCTGGTACCCCAGAACTCGGAGGGTAATAAAGTCTTGGAGGACGGGGTGGGACCTCTGGAGGCTGTCACCTTGGGAAAGAAGCAGCCGACACTGTGGGAAGCAGAACAAGGCCAGAGGGCAGGAGCCGTGAGCCCAGGTGTGGTGGTGGGGAAAGGAGGGCACTCCCATACCTGGTGGGGCAACCCAGGTGTTGGCCCCCAGGGGCTCCTCCAGGGAGACGTGGGTGACTTGGCAGGTGTAAGTGGCACCCACAGAGCCAGGCTCTGCCGTCAGGGAGGAGGAGATGCTGTAGGTGCCTGCTGTGCTCTGCCGGAGGCTGGAGAAGGAGGCGCCAGAGACTGGGGCCGGGGCTCCACCCAGCTCCTCCCGGATCCACGTCACAGTCACATCCAGAGGGTAATAGCCAGTGACACTGCAGAGGAGGGTGGGCGGCAGAGCTTCGCTCACCAAGCTCAGTAGTACTTTGGGGGCAGCTGGAAGAAAGGAGGAGAAATAAAATCCCACAGGCATCACTGGGGCAGCAGGGGAGCCCAGAGCCTTCTCCTGCTG